TAACGACGCAATACCGTATAAAGCGACGGTGTCTATTTCTATATCTTGAAAACAGTATATCTCACCGTCGCTTTATATCGTCACTTCGCGAAAGGATCACGGACTAGTGCACCGCGCTGCTCTTATTATATTTCCAGGTATTCGCCAATTGTTCCAGCGCTATTGCCGGCTCAAGTACCGACTCGCGCGTTAATTTCTCGCGTAGTAGCACAGCAAAGCGACGCGACTGGATGTCAGCGAGTTTAGTCACCGATTATACGTCGTGCAACACCTCGTACACGATCAGTCTCCCGATATCCCTCGTTCCTGGTACGATGAAAACGCAGCCGGCCGTGCGAACTGCCGCGTGAGTAACGCTCAGACAGTTCGTGCCGGGTTCTCTATGCCGGGAGAACGCGTGCCGTGAGCGGCGGCGGCGGCGGTGGCACGCTGACTTTTCGGGAATACCGGGATGGGTCAGCTCACAAAAGTCAGCATAGTCCTTTACCCAGAAATTACTTGGAAACCCAAGCGCCGGCCGAGACACATTGAGTGTCCCATCAGGGATCGCTTACATCGAACGAGTCATTATGAATCACCCGGCGAGCCGGGAAGTGCCGCGAGAAATGGAGAGCGAGGAAAACGTGCTACAGCTTGCGTAACATATTGGAAGTCATCACTTCTCGCGCTCCATTTTTAAATATCGTATATTTGATGTAGGAGAACGTTCCATTTCACCTGACATCAGGTTGATTCCGAAGAATCAATAAATGCCACTATAATATAAATTTTATAAAATATCGAGATTTTTATCGTTTTAAAATTGCGCAATAATTGCGTAATTTTTGTGTAGCAAATCTCGCATTTATGCTTTATGACGTATGCTTGACGGTTTAATTAGCGTTCTGTTAGTCTTCGACGTTGTGGAATAGGTCATCGGCCCCTATTGTTATGACAAGCAATTGTGATATGGTTTGAAGACTTAAACACACGTCTCACAAAAGAATTCCTGCCTTAACATTTTGCGTTAATACATATTAATCGTTAGAAAATTGATACATATCCTAGATAGACGCGGGGAGACGATTTGGCATCATTGATTTCACATCGTGGATTGTTTCCAATGTAGATAACGCATTGCACCATTATCTCAAGCAGGAATGGAAATAATCATCGTACGATACTACACTTACTACTCTCGTACGACCTGCGATAATACCTTCGATCACAAACAACATTCCTGAGAACCACGCTGCCAAGAACTACGTAGCTTGATAAATCACATATCCTCGAAGATTGCTCTATCTAACGCACATGACCGCGGCGAAAAAAAACAAGTTTACGAATTAGCGTGCAGGTTAATGCACAAAAATGCTAACATGACTAACAATGAATAGAAAATAGCGTGTACGCGACGATAAATGAACTTCGAAAGGCACGGCAGCGGCGGAAATTCTGTGGCTGCCAAAGGTAGCCCATAGAAAGGCGGCATCGCGGTAGTCATTCATTAAATTCATTCCCTTGTTATGGCATGTTCGATCTCGTGTACCTGCGGGCACTCGTGCGCCGATCAGTGATCGGCCCTTCTCACGCCCCAATCGTTACGAAAGCCTCCAAAAGGATACAAAGATATCTCTTCTATCTAGGCCCATCACTTTGTATCGAAAAAATATTAAATACTCACGGTGGCCGGTCACCAATTGCGTCACTGACTGTTATTGCTAGTAATAACGATATCTAAGTTTCGCAAAGTTTATTAGACATATGGTTATATGTAATGAGAAAACCTCATGGGTAATTAAATGGAATTTTACGATAATTTTGTGTAAGCAATCCCCTAATAAATACATTAGACAGACTTACGCCATTAGTCTATCTATGGATAGAGTTCTCTGCCTTTTCTTCCTTTCAGGTGCCGAAAAGAACTCGTTTTCATCGTCGCCTTTTATGATGTGTTAGTTACATTCACGTGGTGACTCTCATTCCATTCGAAAATCGATACTTCGTCAATTTCAGTTTTAACGCGATAAGAAAAGAAAAACAGTATTGGAAGTCACCAAGTTCCAAAACGATCGTCGTGATTTTTATTTCACGCTGCAAAGAGTTTGAATTTTCTTTCTTCACACATTTTCGCTACAAAATGTATAAATACGGAGGAGAGATTGCAAGAACAGGAACGAGCACGGAAAAGGTGATAAAGCGGAACAAAAAGGGAAGAATGAAAGGAATTGTCGCTAACAACCACTGGCGGCGGACAAATCTGTGGCGCGGGTCTTTTGTGCCTCGTAAAAGTCTCGTCGGCCACACTGGGGCACGAATAATCGTAAAACCGGGCTGGAAGTTGGCAGGAAGTAGGCTGGCAAGAATAGGTATGGTCTCCTCGCGGCGCTGCCGAGGACCCGTCAAAATCAATTAGCCTTTCAGTCTTTCTTCTAGTGCGGCTACACTGCTGCACTGCTTATTAGAAGTTATAAAATTTCGGTGTGACGACTTCGAGAGAGAATCGATCGAATGGTTCGCGACATCGATGCCTCCGTGAAAATGAATTTCATAATTTCTTTGATAGAATCCTGATAAGTGATAATTTTTAAATATCGTCGAAAAATTTTTGAGTGACACCATATATATATATATATATCGATCGGGAAAATATTTTCTTAATATAGAAATATTATGTCGAATTCTAATTTTTTTACAAATTTATTTTATAAAATTTTATAAGATGGATTGAAGCACGTGACAATGATCACACACGACCGGAAAATATGTCATTGCGCAAAGGAGCGACGCGAGTGGACATCGAAATGCAGTAATACACCATGATAGGAGATATGTGTCGTATGTATCGAGGCGAGTACATGCACTGGCAGGTTGTATATCCGGTCTTGGCTTTAGTATGCAAGCGGTGTGCCATCCGCGGTAGAGAGGGGCAGCTTCCGATTCTGATTTATTGGAATTCTCCGCTTCCGATATTTTATCCGATTCCTTCACGTACCGTCTGCACACGCGCGAAAACGTTCGTCGGCGTTGTTCGTCGTCGCTATCGCGATTTGCGAATTACAAGCGGTCGAATTCGATTTAAGTTTAAGTTGTTCACAGGCGGCGTACAAGGACGTACGATGAACCGCCGTGCATTGTGATGACGAAAACGATAAGTTTGGAAATAATGCGAATGGATGAGCAGTAGAAAAGCAAATACAATACAATAAATAGATCAAGTCGATGATTATAATCTAAAGATTTCCAAGATTTCTATCTAGGAAGCTTCTCTAGGAAAATAGTTTTGTCGGTTGCAATAAATCGCGAGATCCATGGACTTTCCTCGCGTTCGCGCGCCACGTGCGCGCGAAAGATACATTGGCCGTGAGACTTCCGCCGTTCTTAGTATCCTTGGCTAATCTACTCCTTTCTCTCCCTGCCGGTAAACGGCCTACGCCGAACCGATAACGAGTGTTGAACGATGAAGACATTGGACCACCAGACAGTATGTCGCCGCAAGTCGATATCAACGGAGGGAGGCGCCCCTGGAGCTCTTAGCCTCGAGCATAAAGTCGAGAAGAGGAACTCGACTCTTCCCTGTCATCATGTTCAACTATGACTTCACTCCTTTTTCATGCCATCATTTATATGTCGCAAGTGGCGAGGCACTTACACGTGCGCGATTTATTGTCTTTCTTGTCAAGGGTAGCAGCCAGTTGCGGCCGGTATGATATCGGATTATGCGCTGACTTGGAAAACATTCGTATCCGGTATCGCCGCGCGATGATGTAACGGGAACGCTTTTTAACCGCTTTCGACCGTATCCCTGGGACAAAGTGGACCCTATAATGCGAGGAGACAGAAAGACCCTTTCTCGATGCATACGACGAATGCTAATTTACTCGGTTGTACATTCGTTTCGTTTAGATAAACATCATTTGCACGAGTGGAGCAGATTCTTTGTCTGATCTGATGTCGTTCGACGATTAATCCCAAGTATTTATTTTATTTTTAAATAATTATTTAGTGAATGCACTCGTTTACGGGTTAACGACTCCTGTGTTTTCGCGTATTTTTTTTTTTTGGGAAGTCTGAATTTTCTTTAATTGAAATATGTAAACTCAATAAATAATCTTGTATCTTGAACGGATTATATATTAAAATCGGATCTTTCTCGAAAAACGGACAAAATTTAGAATGCAAAACATTATTTCTGCGGTTTTTGAGTCAATCTCTCTTTTTGAATTGCTCTCAGAGAAAAACCTTGAGAAACCGCCTGGGTCTGGTGCGTGATTTATTGTCCTTGGCCAGAGATAATAAGGTACGATTGGTTAAGAAGATTCTTTCGAAATAAAAATTTCTCGCTGTCATATATATCTATTTGCCTCATAAAGTTGACTATCATTTTTAGAAATCCAAACACACTTGAAAAAATGTAATAAATAAGAAGGAAATGAGAATAATTTTTATGAGAAAAATAATTATTACGATTATTAGATTAAATATATTGTAAATAAAGATTTTTAATTTCAATTTTATATATTTTATATTTAAATAAACAAGATAAGCTTACTAGATTCAAAAATAATTAAAACAGAAGAACATATAAGCTAAGTAAAATCAAAGTGCTAAAAATTTGTAATGTATAAAAATAATATTATTATGATATCAATTTTGGAATCAACTAAATGTATTTCTCGTTGTGATTTTTAATCTTTTATAATCTAATATTATTTATACTGAAAATAACTTAATCTGAGATAAATGAAAAACGATATCTATATCTGTTTATAACTGTTTGTTTTTGTATATTACACACAATGTTCAGTACTTAGAGCCTGCTTAATTTATACGTACCTCTGTTTTAATTATTTTCTTATACATTTAATTTAAATATAAATTTATCATAATTTGAAATAAGAATTTTACTGAAGTTATATTCTTGTATCTATTTTGCAAATTTAAATTAAGCAATAATATTCATTATTGCATATTTATATTTTTATATACAAGCAAAAACAAAATTCACTTAATAATGATCAATATAAAGATGTGGCATGAGTTATCAAGATCGAGATTTTTTTCAAAGATTTATGTGACTTGTAAAACTATCGGCCTTAGGATGACCGGAAGTACTACCATATCCTCTTTCCGCTCGAGGCTCTCTCTCACTCTACCTGATCTTCTCATAGAAGTTATATTAGTAATTATCAAAGAATTGATAAATTTAATCCTCTAATAAAACTAATAATATTGTATCGATCTAAATTGCAGCAATATATATGGGAAGAAGACACAGCCGAAAGAGAACGACAATGTAAAGTAGCGAAAAACGTTTTGTTACTTACGAAATCATCTCTAAATTTTTCTGCATGCTTCAATGCATTTGACGCTTGGATCACTATTTGGTTGACGAGATCATGGTCATTCAATTGAGCAATATCCGGATTGGAGCCATTTCGTAATTTGGTGGAGAGACCACAGGGATTTATCCATTTCATTTCAACGTTCTTGAAATCCATTACTGGGAAATCAATTGCATTTACTGGGCTACTTTTCGCTGACAATGCTAGCAGAATCACCAATATACTGCTTAACCCTGGAAACAAAAATCATCAAGTTAAGCTTGTTATTCTAGTGACTTTCATAATATACGTTATATTGTATAAATAAACTTTCAATCACAATGTGGAATCCGTTTTTCTAAATATTATTACTAATTGGCTAATTAAATATTATAATATTTGAGTTTCTCAGAAGAAATTAACATCAATAAAGAGTATTTTTGTTTATATCGAGTAATTAAAGCGATTGACGAGTTGCGTTTTCCTCTTTTATTTCTTAATACTCGTTTATCGTGTCGATACATCGTATACTAAGATCTTTAAAGAGTATGAGAGAGTAAAGAGTATGGCTAAAACGATTGCTATATTGTTAACATAGTTCCATCGATTTGTAACAAATGCCATGAGATTAAATCCATTCTGCAATAAAGACTTACTTGTATAGGGGCATCATTAACGGAACGTATCTGTGTCTTTAAAAAAAATAAAAAAAAAAAAAAGGAAAGGTACTACTCAATGTTCGGTGGTAATCATGATTTGACATGAGAGCCGCGAGATGCCTGCGTGAAATTATCATTGAGCTTCCGGCTCACTGGCCCTCCACCTCTGTTTCCACCCTCGGGGATTCACTCGTCGATAGTAAGCGCCTAAATGGTAGATTCCGATCGGGACCGTCTTATGATCATCCGGCAGTTTCAAGATCACCGCACGTCGAATTACGTCCCCGCGAATTCGTCGTCGCATTATTACGCGAGTTACGACCCTTGATGAGGGGCCTCGGATCACGTGCAGCGGTGCACGACGACAAACCATCAACAGTTGCGTACGCATTGAAGGATGTATAACGATGGACAGCCACCGCATACGACGTGTTGCCTTTGCATTTAATCCGCATCTTTCCCTCCCTCCTTTCTTTGAAAATCAAACGGTATATAACGATATCGAAGTTACATTGCCAGACGTAATTTTGATTTGAATAGTTAAATTAGATTTCATTAAATACGACATTTTATTGTCATTATTATAAATTCTATTAATTACTCGTGTGTATGTGTGTGTATGCGCGCGTGAGTACGTGCGTGCATATGCGTGTATATACATGTGTGTATGTGTGTGTCAAAATTTCTTTTCTCTCTTCTTTAAAATCACCGAAATAAAAAGAAAATAGAAAGAAATGTGATAAGAGCTATTTTCTTTTGTTGAAGCTATTTCTTTTTATTAATTGGTTTTTATCATTTGTTTAGTATTTATCGTATCGTCGAAAATTTATAATGGAATATCAATAACGCTGTATATTTCTCTAATCAGTCAAATATATTGTGTCAAAGTAGCAGTATCAAAGAGAGATTAAAGTTTTATATAACTTTAATTCTTTGACTTATATCGTTAATTGGGAACGGGAACAAACAAGTGCGCGACCGAAAACCGGAGGTGCGTCGTGCCATTCACAGGCGTTAACAAATTTAATTTTAATGTGCATGAACGCATGATGCAGCCGACGGACGCGCCGTACAAACGAAGGGAGACAGAAAAGCAGACGGAAAAAGAGCGAGATGTAGAGAAAAGGAGGAGTGGGACGTGGCATGGGGAGACACCTCGAACACTTAACGCATATTAATGAGCGGCTCTTAAGTGCGTTCTGCGTTGCGATGAGAGAGTAATTTGCCGCGGGGAAGTTTGCGCCCCAAAGTGACGACGCAAAATCGTGTCGGTCAATGGCGGTGATACGCGATTGCTATAATTTTTAACGCGAATTTTATATTATATTTTCAAAATATGACGATCTACTACTAGCTTACTAAATTACTTGCAAAGGTACATTAAATGTTAATTTTATACTAATAATATTGAAATATGAATTTTTATTTTAATTACACAACGACCTCCATTTACAGCCTATTTTAATTATCTTAACTCATTTTGATTCACTTTTTCTTATAACTTAAGTTGCACAACACGGTGGACATAAGTCTATTTTTGCGCTTTATTTTTGTCACGAAAAGAAGAGTAGAAAAGAGAAAAAAGATATCCGAAAGGGTGACAATCCTGGCGGAAAGCGTCCAATTAATGTTCGCTAATGATGTTAGGAGAAACACGTGCGTACTTGCAATATACTTTTCGCCTATATACAAAAAAGATTGTATCTACTGCGAGTATTTTTATCACGCCGCAAAGCTTGCAGTGATCCACGTAAATGATCTCTCGAGTATCCATGAATGTATTTCCTTGCTACTCGTTTCTCAAAGACATCGTTTACTTTCTCTTGTTTCTTTAATTACTCCGCCTTCTTTTTTCCTCTCGGATGTTTAATTGCTATGCGATTAGTGTTCTTCGATCGGTCAAATTTGTCGGCAGAGAAAGGGATATAGTAATATAGGCATACTTTCAAACGAGTTCTCTTTCTCAAGAAAGAAATTCAAACGGCAACCAACTATGATCTTGCTGCATAGAACTTACTCTCGCATTTACCTAATCCAGGAACTACGCGTTGTGAATTTAATCGTTTTTCGCAGAAATATGTCGATATGCTTCATAGCGGAAAAGTATTGTTCTCGTTGCGTTATTATTAGTAAAAAAATTATTTTTTAATATATATATATATATATATATATATATCACATAAGAAACTATTTTACTTAGACTATTTGTACACGTTACCAAAAAGTAATAAATAATATATTATATAGTATTACTTTGTTCGGTCTCAATTATTTTCTATTAGAACTAAAAAAAGTTAATTACCGACTAAGAGTACGTTTAACCAGATGGTAATTCTGTGTGTTATTTTACCCTTCTTTATACTTTCCCTAGTACCGTCTATATATCGCTGATACCGCGAGGGCCTACCTCAATGACGACTCTCAACGACGGCGTTCCATCGAAATTCCTAAGAACCCGCGGCCGCGTTGAAAAAAGTATGGCGCGCAAAGCCAGTGAACACCGGTGCAAAGCGCATCTCTGCTGTCGACTAACAAGAAAGACGATGAAAAATGCGGTAATGACGCACTGTCCTCGCATTGCTCGCGACAATTATACCCCATTACGCCCGACCCGCTACTCCCTTTTCTTCCGTTCGTGTCTACGGACGAAGCACATTGCGGTAGGTCGCAATACGCGGTGCGCATATGTGTTTCGACAATTTATTATAAATTATCTTCTGTCAATTCCTTATTGTCACAAGAGAATGATACATTATGTTCCCATTATCATATTCAGTTATCATTAGTGGCTATTTGAAAAAAATTTCGAATTTATATTGACATTTGAGAATAAAAAAAAGAAAAAAACAAAATGACGTACATCATTTTATTTTAAAAACACAAAATATTAGGACATCTATACAAATTACTTAAAAACTGAACGGGCGTTCCTAGAAGCTAGGGATTTAAACCACCTGTAGGACCCTTGCTATTCAACAGGTGGGCGAACGGAGGCAAATATAGCACACGTCCTGGCACGTGCCGTGTTTTGAATTCATTCCGGGAAATCCAGAGATCTTATTATATATTATATATTCCTCTTGATTTTTAGTGAGAATTTGGAAGAACCAGATAAGACAGCAAAACGCGTATAGACTTAAGATTCGCAAACTTGTAAACGAAGAATCGATAAGGAGGACCGTTACAAGACGGATGACTAATACATTCATCGGCATGCTCGAAAATGACGTCAAACTTGCAAGAGAGAATGAATGAGCAACAATAAACCAAAAAGAATGTAATATCACATTTATATGTCACATATTATATTTTTTATCTTATTGGTATTTGAAAAAAAATATTTACTCAAAAGTTATTTTTACTCAAAAGTTTATTAAAATATATTAAAATATTACTTAGAATTAAAAAAACTAAAAAATTTCAAATTTAATTTACGCAACGTGTTCTTTGCATAATAATTTATAAAGCAGAAACATTATTTATAATATGTGGTAGATTTTAATGTCACAAAAATATAGTAAATATGAAAGAACAGGATAATACAATATTACATAAGAAAGTTCTTAAAATTATAATTTTTAAAAATTAATATTAAAATTTTTCTAAATCTTTCTTAACAACTAAAAAAAATAAGATTATGTATAAACTGATGATCGTATTTCGAGCGGTGTTCTTTAATAGTACCTATTACGAGACGAGCGTTCAATAATTAGGGTTTCGAGGCATACGCGGGTTTTACCGTCAGGTCACAATCTACTTCGGGTGCAAATTTACGAGTCATAATCAAGCTTATTGATGTTAGCCGAGTAATAGGATTTTTCAGTTCTACTTTTACATGCAGATCGGTATTTCTCCTTTCAGATTATGACTAACGCGTATGGAAATTCATGGAAAATTTATTTGAATCCTAGAGGAATAATTTGTATCACACATATATTCGCAAAGTTAGTGTATATAAAAATATTCCCCCGTGTTGCTGTTACGAAAGGTTAATATTGAACGAGGATATAAACAACTTGACTTGATGTAAATGAAGCAAATCCTGATATGATTTCTAAATCAATTCGGAGAAAACCTTGCAGCCGGAAAGAGGATGCAACTTTTATATTGTCAACGACCACGCTGCAAAGATAGAACGAAGTACGATGCAACAACCAAACTTATTATTAAAATAATTATGTAATGCATTTTGCTGCATTATCGACGACCTCAAATTAATCGGTAGCATATTGTCAGTATAAGAACACACTGAAGATATTTTTTGTCATGATAATTAATGTTGCACGTGCTATGATTTATTTGTTACATTAAAATACTTTAATATTAATATTTATGATACATCGATTTATTGTGCATGAATCGGCAATTTTTGAAATAGAGTCAGAGTAATTTAATTTATTTTTTTATTTATCTACAATAATGATATTTATTCGAGCATTATTAATTATCATTGCTAACATCAATTATTTTTCTGATATTTTTAATTAATGATAACTTTGACTTACTTAGAGATTTGAGTAGATTAAAAGATGAGTTTGAACGTGCTCTTCGGTCATGATAAAATGTTGGCATGAGGTGTAAATCATATGGCAAGTGCTTTTGAGCATGACCAAGTTTTTCGGTTTTCGCGGTTGTCGCTTTGATGCAAAAGTGTCTCACGACGACGTCGTTCTGATATTTAGTTTGATGCAACGATGAAACCGCCGACTTCGATGCCGGCGCATAGATTTGTGTGGCATAGTCATGGACTCGATGGGACGTAGTCCTCTGATCGCGAGTGAGTATGATCTCCATTGGCATCGATTGATTTTCTACGATCATCGCGCTTTTTGTAATAATCATCGCGATCGCATAACACTTAATCACGCGGGCACTCGCGAACGCGCGACTTTAACGGAATAACGCCGGTGTGTATCTTTCGCGGATCTCTTCGCGTCAGCGATGGATGTAAGGAATAGATACACGTGCGTTATATATATGTATATGTATATAGACAATCTTCTCTTGTGAACGGTGCGTGTGTGCTCCAATGTTGTGTCGCACGATACACAACCGACTTCGATCACCTGAGGGGTTGTCACAATCGAAAAACAGCCTGCACAGATTCACAATCCGTTTGGCACTGGTCCCAGCACACGCGATGCAGTGTTCTTATATGCGGGGGGTAGAGGGGTTGTGGGATCCTGAGAGAGAAAGAGGGGCGGGAGGGTGGGTGCTTGATAAGGTGGCGGGGGTACTCGTAAGAAGGAAAAAACGGATCAGAGGGATACACTGTTAAGGGTGGTCCACGTATATTTTCCTCTCTTTTTTACAGTTCTCTCTCTTCGCTTATGTCTTCACTTACTTTTTCCACTGCCAATTATCTTTTTCTCTCGTTTCGTTTCTCCGTGCTGTGTTTCACTTTCTCTTTTCGAAAAATATGTCCATTTTCAAAACGTGCCACAGAAATAACGGAATACGTTGCCGTATCCAAGATACGGAAGGAGAACAGCCAATCAAATGCAGATAGAATGCCAGGATAAGCAAGGAGGCCGGCGACTTAAATTGTCCGTTTGTCGTTACAATAAGACTGAACTTGTCTAAGGGAATGGGAGTCGAGATCTATCCGTCTGCCTTGAACGAACGTACGTAAATCACTTCTTGCTATTGTGCTGTCTTTATCGTATTCTTTTTTTGTTCTTTTTCCTCCTTCTTCTTCCCTTTCTTTTTCCTTCCTCTCTCTTTCTTCGTATTCGAACGCAACTCTTTCACTCTTTCTATCACCTCGTACGCCCCCAGTGTATGACTGTCAGTGTATGGTACTAGCCACTCGGTCGACCGGTGCCTATATACGATTGTAAAGTCGCCAAAGCACGTGGCCCGCACCCCGCTTTCGGCCAATCCTCCCACCATTCTTCCCTTCCTCGATCACCCGCGCTTGGTTCGTTAGCTTACCTTTTCTCGCCTTGTATTCTTTCTCCTTCTTTTCATCGTCCACGTCGTCGCCACCGCCACCTCCTTCATCTATTCCCTTCTCCTGCACATTGGCCCTCCAACACCGCTTTTACCCCCACCATTACAATCTGGTAGTTCAGTATTTCGCGGACTCATTCATAACTCCCCGCGATTACTTGGTATCCCCACTTTATCTGTCCCCACCATGTGTGCGTAGTAGGCGCTAGTCACCCAATACAGTGATGCGAACGTCGACTCACGGTCGACCTGCCGTGCATTATAGACTCATCTTTCGAGTCTCTCTGATCTTAAGCACCGCAAATGAATACCGAGTCTCACGTACTTATTAATTAATATTCATAAATATTCATATCTTGTTTAATATTTGACCTAAGTATTGCAAATAAATGTCAAATTTGCTTTTTTAACTAGGTTAAATTAATAGTTAACTCTATTAATTATTTTTAATTTTTAATAAATTATTATTCCATTTTATTTTATTTTATTTTTCTTTTCTTTCCTTTACTTTATTCAATATATAAAAATAAAAATATTTCATAAAAAAAGGGGTTAAATACAATTAACAAAAATATGAAATAGTTAGGCAAAATTAAGAGAAGATTTAAAAAAGTTTTTCTTTATTATATATTTTTAAAATTTCTATGTAATAGATAACTTATTTTATTGTATCATTTTCTGTAGAGAAAAATGTTGTAATTTAATTTATTTTATTAGATTTATTACTTAATATGACTCCTTGAAAAGCCAAAAATGTGCAGTTTTAAATTTTATATTAAAATCTTATGAGAATCATCCTTGTTGACATAGGAGCTTTTCCAGCTGTTTTCATACAGTAAGAATGTACGTAGTTGATTCATGTTCTTTGTAAAAATCACAACGTATAAATGCACTGTTACGGATAAAATGAATCTGTCGATAAAGGTAATTATAGCATAGGAACATTCCGCCTGTAGAGATGAACGTGTGCGTCAGTAGCGCGACCGTACGCGCGATTCTGCTAATTGTCGACGAAGGCGTGACACCATTCGTTATCCTCAGTCAAGAATCTCATACGTCTGTACTATCTTCGTTATCATTGCAAAAAGTTCACGGCATTAATAAACGGAGTTAATAATGTTAGATCGTGATTCTTCGCTATAACTACGTCAGTAAGTGCATATATGTTTCCGCAGACATGACAACAATGCTAGATAGTATTGATGATGACGTTAATAGTAATTACTGTGACGCGCGCCATTTTCATGCAAGAATGTCGGCATTAAATAAAACTTGAACTTCTATTTTTGTCAAATTAAAAATAACTTCACAGAGTCAAAACATGTCACGAGACATCAATTTTTATTTATATATATTTCTCTTATCTTGTTGAGATAGAGATGTATGTATCGAAATGTTTATATTTGTATTTGTTATAATCTATGATGTTTTCTATTCATTTTAGTTCTTTCTTCCATGTTGCATATTATTAATCGATCATTATATAATTAATCAAATTGTATCCGAATCAGATGACTACTTTTTCATAAAATGAGAAGATTTCCACTTAATTAGACAATCCAGGATTTTCTTTCGTGTTTCGAATTTTCCCACTATGGTGTACACACTCCCCACCTAAAACTGCATTCGTATCCTCTTTTACCTCCCACTTAAAGTCAGCGGTGACGTTTCCTTTCACTAGCTCTTGAATGCTTACGTATATTCGTACTACCTCCGTACTATTAAAGTTGGAGCTATCTGTGCCTGACAATTCGTTCGAACTTCCGAAAAGATTTTCTCAGAATAAACGCCGAATCTTCAGTGCATGATAGGATTCCGACTGACAAATATTTTCGGGGAATGTAGACTATAAATCCGGATGCGGTTAATAATAGTATGGTAAAGGGATTCCGAGGAGATTTGTAATCAACTATTATGATGAAATTAATTATAACACGCGTGCTCAACATTACATAATATTTGATAAATTAATTATCATAATTATACAACTTTTAAAGCAATGATATGGGCTTAATGTGTATTTTTCCATTAATTATTTTTCAATTAATTGTTATCTAAGTAATCGTGTAAGACAAAAATTAATATTTTAATAAAAATATTTTGTTGACATAAATATTTTTGAAAAGAATTTTTAATATAGACATTACATGTAATGTTTAATCAGCTGTCATTTAAACCAGCAGCGATGGATTGTGTAAAGTAGCCATTTGTAAATTTAAAGTTTCCGATTGCATCACGTAACGTAATCAATGAATAGCGAAATGGAATGTCTACTTTAAATTTCTCTTAAAGTTCTTAGGACCGCGCTCCATTCATTTTTAATGGATCAGCAATATTTAATCGAATCTTCGATGCCATTCACATCTTTAATAGATCTTTACAATTACTGATTCTTCTTATATTACGTTGCCAAAAATTCATTAAATAATAAGTAGTTGTTCTGATTACTTCATAAATCATGGCGAATTATAAAAAAACGTATTACGTTATATTTAACAAATAATCGTATTTAATATGTCACAGTGAATTTTTTCATGAATCTTAAAACTGTGTCTCATTAATATGTCTCAACCGATTTGTTTATAGTTTTTTGTTAGATGTTCTGCAAGCCTCTTACGGCTATAAAACTTAAATGTTCAAAAAGTAGTATATTAACGTACATTAATGTACTTGCGAAATTCTCACTTTTCTGATAATTTTGAATAATTTTTAAGTGAAAAATTTGAGTTGAACTATTTGTCGGATATGTTTTCATAGCACTATTCCATCTAAGATTTTAATATGCCGCGATAATCTGGTGGCCTAAGACATTAAAGACTAAGGCAGTATTGGAAGAAATGTTGATTTTGAAAAGAACTACGATTATGCTAGTAACAACAATAGGATTGATATTTGCGCTGGATCACTTCCTTGTAGCGACGCTGTACTTCGTTTGAGATACGAGGATAAGTGAAAGATTAGGGTGGCATACGACTATTGAAAGAATTCTTGTCGGGAAGCATAGTCAAGAAGACAGGATACTAATGGTTCAAAAAAGCGTATAAAATATATCTTCCTATTCATGAGGAATAAAGAAAATGCCTACATTTACGAAAGATTTCTTTTAGACATTTAGGAAAGACTCCAAGACGAGCGAAGATTATCTAGGATATCGTAGAGAAATCAAAGAAATTCTTTCACAGATACATAGATGTTTCAAATGTCGATATATAAAATTTATTAATATTATGTTATATTGCTTATAAATTATGGGCGACTGATATTTAAATACTACTTAGTATTTAAATATCATTTTAATGATGCAAAAACAATCTTCTTTTTATTTTATGTTCTAAAATTTATATTTTATATTAATGTACAATATAATATACAAATTATGTGTAAGTGAATACAAACAATACTGAAACCAAATAAAGCCATTGAAAATTACGAAAATATAAAAAAAATATTTACAGATAATTCTTTGTTATATATCTGTAGAGTTTAAGACACATCGTTTGCACATATTATTTTGCGCATTTCGTTAATGAAGAAGTGTATTGTGAATGAGACATAGGGAGACGCATTTTAATTTAAAAAATGCTCTACGTGACTGCCCTCATGTTTCGTCCAACTTCGCGTAAGATCATGCATTATGCGAAGCCAATACGTGTTCGTAATACGACGTGATGGAACAGTCACTAGAGAAAGATGATAACGTGATTAAAAATTGCGTGGATATATAAGACAGACGCGAGCGTCTGTGAATATCCCATTAAGAAAATGATCGTAGAAATTTATCCTTCATGATAAATAATAACTGAAATAATTTTTTTTATCTAACCTCAGACAAATTCTATGATTAAATAACATTAAATTGCCCGTGTAATTTTGCATCATTTATCTTAAGCAGATATAAAACTCGGAATTCGATAAATGATTATTTATCGCAGCAAAACTTCTTACGCTTTATATTTTGTTCGCGTAAGATGTGTTACTGCACCTTGCTCTGCCATTTTTTATTTATCGCACGTGATACGGCGCCGGCGCGTCCCCTTCTTCGAACGTACGTGATTTCCTAATGAGAACGTAAGAATAACATCGTGGCGTATATCGAAAATTGGTAGTATGAAGAATTTTCAGATAAAAATATTTTTTCTGTAAACGATATCGTTTAAATTCTAATATATTCTATCATTCTAAGAATCGCAATATTTAAACAATAAAAAATTTTGCATTCCAAAGTA